TTGACTCATCTCTTGTTTTGACATGGCCGCGAGTTGTTCGTAACGAAACTTCTCGTATCCGTTTAGATAATGAGAGCAGGGCTAACTATTTGGAATCATAAACTTTGATATACAGAAATGAAAAATGCACATAAACAAGTAAAAAACACTTGAAGTGAGAAAGAAGACATGTCAGTCATCATATCATATGTTACTCGACCTCAAAAACAAGAGCAACGTTCAGAAATTATACGTTGCTTTACTGAACTGAGCAGGCATCGCATTAGTTGCTTTTTCTTTTCGCAGGCTCTGAGACCGTTGTTCTATCTTCAAGATTCGCCGCACGCATTGCATTGAGATTTGCTTTTGACTAAATTTACCTACGACCACGTCCTGTTTAGTAATAACGAACTTAGGTCAAACTGCATAACGTTTGCCGGCAATGATTTTTACTATGTCAGATGCGTCAGTAATCTCTCTAAGCCCGCCACGCATGTTTCAGATGATTTAGCCGTAGTTACGACTGAAACTCATTAATGGCGAGGTGAAACAGGCGCGTGCTAATAAACTGAGGGTTGTAAAAATATCTGGAATAGAGCGAATGTTGGCTTCAAGTGTATGTCGAGACGATCAAAATACAAATAGACAAAATAATGAAAAAGACAGCTCTGTTATACATATCATTAATCCTTTTTCTCCCCGTGGAATTCTTTTCTCCTCCTCCTTATCGCATACCGGGCGGGACCAACAGAAGTCTGTTGCTAAGGACTAAATTATTTCAAAACAAACTGTTTTTTCCAATGAACGTGCGCGCACAAAACTCTATAATAACCAGAGCCGTAGCCAGTGTGTGTTTGTTTTAGGGGGAGAGTAAAACCCTGCGAAATACCTAGGAAGAGAATTTAACCATGGACATTGCCTGAATCATAACTTTGTTCTGGCTAAGACACTGATAACGCTCTGATTTTGGTTTTTACATTTTCTGTTTTTCATTTTTTCCCGTAGTTCCATCTTGCCTGCAAGATTGTAAAACACAAAACTCGACAAAGTTAATCGTAAATATTATGAAAGCCTTTTATTTTCAAGTTTTGCCAAACAGTTGCTTCCAGGCCGGAGGCGAAAATTAGTCGTAGAACATTGTTCTTCGAACTAAAATTGTAATTTGAAGTAAAGCTAAGGGAATTTTACATTACACGTTTTCCATCTAAGTGGTGAAGTTTTGGGACTTTTCTGGAACGTTTCTCAAATTTTCCTTCAAATCATTTAAGCTAACACGCACTTTAACTACGTTTCTGTTGTCTGTCCAACAGTCCAGTCCCCAGCACTGATGGATCAAGTGAATATATGACAGATCACATATTTGAACTGTGGAGAAAGATATAAAGACATGATTGGTCATCGAAGATTTTTTTCCACAATTCTGGATTATAAGCACGCCTGTTTCACCTCGCTACTACTGAGTTTGAGTCGTAACTGCGGGTAAATCATGAAACAGGCGTGATGGCCTGGTAATATTGTTTGGAGAGATACTGCGATGATCAATCATGTCTTCATACTGCTACATCAGTTGGTAATTTACGAAACACCTTAACGCGTCAACGCCAGGTTTGACTGTAATTTCAACGCCTTTGCTTTCAGGCTATTTAAAGAGAATCCGGAACTTTTACAGATGTTTTCATTTAGAGATTTGGCTAATTCGACCGAGGACGCCATGCGAACCGACGATCGATTTAAGAGGCAGGGACTGGTAACCATGCAACATGTCGACTTGGCCGTGGCGTCTCTCAGTGATCTGGGCTCTATTGTTCCCGCCCTCAAGGACTTAGGAGCCAGGCATTCCATGTACAAAGTTGAGGAATATCACTTTGGGGTACGAAATTAATGTAAATTATTTCAGCACCAGGTGCAATGTAGTTCGCTCTTTCCGGGAGTGAGTTGCAAACTGTTTATTAAAAGTGAGGAAGAGTTAGGCATTAGAGAGAACAATGCTTAGTAAGAAGAATTTATATTTTACCTTCGAATTTCGCTATTGTCTAGATCTGTTCAGTGCGCCTTTTGGTCTTAGAACTTGCTCAAGATATGTAATGCCAGCGGTATATTCCAGATGAAAATACGAAAATTAGCCGTCGTCGTTCGCGTTCTCTAAAACACGCAGAACTTAGGCATTTCAAGTTGTTGTTGTGAAGAGGACGGCAAAGAAATGTACAAAGATTTATAACGCACGTGCACACTAATTGTTCTGCTCATTAAACCTTTTCTTTGATGACGTCAGTCGTTGCCGTTGCTGTCCTGGCCCCAGTTGTTCGAAGGCTGGATAACACTATCCAGCGGATTAATTACTATCCAGTGGATACATGTTGACAAAACAAACGATGCTATCTGCTGGATAGTGATTTATCTGGTGGATTGCGTTATCAACCTTTCGAACAACCCGGGCCTGGTTTGCTCAAGTCTCTATTGTCTGTGACTCGTAGCACCTAGTAAGGGGTATATAAAGCATGCTTGATACGGCTAAGGGTGTTCCATTTCGCTTTTTCGTAGTTGCTACCTGATGTCCATAATCTTATGGCACTTATGATATAAATTATGGTAGCGGCGCTAAGGGCGGTTTTACCTGAACAACGTTAACGCTGACCAAAGTTATCTCATCGTTTATCGTAGCAAGCGAGAACAGCATACCATTGACCACTCAACAGTGAACACGCTGTTCCTCGCGTGTAAATCATGACACACTCGTTGATTTTGCATCCCATTGATTTTTCAATTTTTCTTTTACTGATTATTTTTTCAGCCTGTTGGAGCCGCGTTACTGGGCACGCTTGACATGGGCCTTGGAGAGAAGTTTACACCAGAAGTTAAGGAAGCGTGGACTGTCGTTTACGGGATTGTCGCAGACACGATGAAAGCTGGTCTTAAAGAAGTTCTCGAGGGATAATATGAACAAAGATACTCACAAACATCTAACTATCATAGAGGCCCTCTTCTAGAGTATCCGGCAGCTACAATCGTATATTATCTTAGTCAGAAGAATTAGCATAGACTGGTCTGGAATCTAAAAAGGGAGGATTCTAAAAAGAATATTGTACTTATAGCAGCAAATTAAAGGAAGTGATAATACCAATCGATACGAATGAAATTATAGGTACGCAATGCGTTCATGCATTTACGGCAGGCTGCTTGCAAGAGGAGCTTTGAACGACCATATCAAATCTCGTTTGCTCCTTTTTCTGTAGCTCACGTAAATCAAATCAAGCATGTTTGTTGACTTAGCGGGAATTTAAATACTCACACTCATGAACTTATCGTTAATAACGAGTTAACAAGCATTTTGATCAACTGTGTATTTTATCTGATTTATATGTTATCGCTTTTCGTATTATGGCTAAAACGCTCTTTTCGTAGAATTCAAAAAAATGTATATGTTCATACATAAATTAAAAAATAAGGGTTCACAGAGCGCTTAGTCGTTTTGTTTTTATTTGATATCAGTGGAGCATTTGCTTTCGTTGCCTCAGATGAATTAGTCCACTCCCACCCCTCCACCTCCACTGATTTTTGACAGCCTCAGTGTGCTTTTGACCTCAACGAATCCTGGTAGTGAAGAAATTTCATAGAAAAGATAGAAAATTGCATCCAAATAAATTTATTGAAGTCATAACGAGAAGAAAGTTTCACAGATAGGACGGTTACTAGAACAATGCTGAGCCGCTTACAGTCTCTTTTTTCCTTTTTTTTTTCACTGTACTTACCTCGTTCCCAGGGTCTCTCATCTTCCCACCCTGGAAACGAGGCAGTTCAAACAACTCAAACATCATCACACTCTTTTTGGATTTCTTCGCCATGTTTTGCTGTACGTTTGTTATACTTTCTCTGAGAAAATATCGTGAATTTTGGGCAGTATGTTCCTTGACATCATCAGTAGCCTGCGTAGCTGGCGGTATTGTAGGCGCGCGGAATAAAGTTTTGGCGTGGGCCGAAACAAAGTTTTAACGGCGAAGCCGCGAGGAGAATGGGGAGGAGGACTTTGTATTTTGTTAGTATTTCAGGCGGCTTCGCCGCTCGCGATTAGCGGCTTCGCTGCCAAAACTTTATTTCGGCCGACGCCAAAACTTTATTCCGCCTACAATACCGCCAGCTACGCAGGCTACATCATCAGCTGGGAGAGCAAAGGATGGCAAAGTCTCGCTGTGAGGGAGATGGGGAGCCCGTTGGTTAACAAGGAGAGACCAGATCTTTCAGTAATTTGATATTAACAATGATAAAATAAAATCATGCGTGCTCGAAATTTATCATCGTCCGGCCGGAACCCGGTAGCAACTGTAATGCCACGCCCCTTCCAGGTGATCAGTTGAGCAATAAGGGACTGGGAACTAGAGGGAAATTAAACAACTCAAGATGGTCGCGGGAGCGTATACTACGAGTCCACGGAGGCGAAAACCATACAAAAATGGCTATTCTGCCAAAGCAAATGGCTTTTCATCTCACGAGCAAGAGAAGCTTAAAGAGTTTAAAGAATCTTTTGTCGAGGAGTTTGAAGATACACCGTTCCAAGTGGCTGTTTTAACCTACTTATCATACTTCTTCTTGATTCTGTTCGGTTACTTGCGTGACTTCATGCGAAAATATGGCTTGGAACGGTCGAAAGCTCCCAAAGAGTATGGAAACAAGGTTAGTTTTGTTAGAAAATAGTTTGTTTAGTTTTATTACCGGTTTGAGGTCTTGGAAGTCGTCGATAATGTCAAGATCAGGCAGATTTCTCGAAGTCAGCTGTCTCGAGCTCGAGTAAAACATGAGTTTGTAGGCGTTGACCAAGCCGATTTCAAATCAATAGCGTGGTGTAACTGCGTAGAAGTTCACCGATTTCACTTTCCACGAAGTTTATTTACAGCATTAAGAAAATTTCTTTACTAAAGATTAAGGATTTAGCGTTCTTTTTGTCAAAAATAGCTCTGAAGCGTGCTTCGATACGGCATGTTCATAGCTTCGCAATGTTTTGATGCGTGTACGCATGGGCGAACACGTTGATGTTGTCATCGACTAAAAATGTGGTTTATCGTCTAAGATTCGTATTTCTCACTGAATAGTTGAAACGCTTTATCTTTGGACAAAGTATGTGAGCAATTGTAGAAAACCGAGCGACTACCAAAGAGCTAACCAGGTCTCTTTTAGAACGATGCAATTTGAAACAAAAACTATTTGTTATGTAATAAGATAAAAGAAGGTTGCTCGGGTATTTGAAAATTTAGCCAAAGGATGTGATACATAAATGTTTATGAACAATTCAAATTCAAATTCAAATGGAATGAAATGAAAGGAAATGAAAGGTGGAAAAGGAGACAAACGAGGTTAACCCTTTCATGTTTGTCTCCTAAAATAACGTAAAAAATTGTTGTATGCATTTTGATCTAAACTTCACTTACTGCAGCTTTTTCATTTCTAGGGCCCAGTTCAGACATTGTGCTTCTGTTGTGCCAAACTTAATTCAGGAATTAAGTTCGACAAAAGCACGCCAGAAGCATGGCACCCGAATCAAACTTTTGAATTAAGTTCGCCAAGCAATCAAGTTTGGCAAGCTCTGCTGTGCTACACAACTTTGGCACGGCAGCAATTCAAACGTCATGCTTCTGTTGGCCAAACAAAATTCATAAATTTGTTATATTATTGTATTTTGGCGAGATTGCGTTCCCCTGGGGAGTTAGGAGGAGAGTTGTTACGAGGCTTCAGTATATCCTGAATTTGGTGCGACTCTGGCACGACGTCCGAGTCAAAGTTGTTTTTCTGCTGTACTGCAGTCGAACCAAATTGCAATTTAGTTTGGCACGGTGGAAAAGCGACGTCTGAACTGGGCCTAAGGCATTTGAAGAATTACTTACCAAGATTAAAAGACTTCCTGGACAGAACTTTTTTAAAGGGTAAAGCTCCTCATGTGAAGCGTTGAGACGGGCATTTTAAGGAAAACATCAATTCATTTGTTTTGCCATAGCCAGAAAGTTTTTAATTCACATGTGACTGGCATTTGGTGGTTCAGGAGCCAACAGTTTGTTGATTTTTAACCGTGTACACTTTAACTGAAATGAAAATTGGTTGGAGAGAAGATTTGTCATGATTTTTGGTAGAACCAAACACATTTTGTCAGCCTACATGTACCCTATTACAGATGGGTCCTACTAGTATGGTAGTTTCTGCTTGAAATTGCCTTACATCCCTTCTGAATTTTAGTATAATAAAATTATAAATGAGAAAACCTAAAAGTGAAAAGAGGAAATGGCGACTCAGGTACATGTACAATGCAGTTCAATCTGTGATGTTTTCATATTTTGCCATTTTTAGAGCCTACTTTTTTTTATTTTGTGGTTGAAAATTTACAATGTACTTTTAAATCAAAATAAGTCCCTGAGCACATGTAACACTAATTTGCCTCAAATGGTATTTTTTGTTTTTGTTTTAGGGGTTTGTCCCTCTCTATGCTGATTTTGAAAGTTTCTACACTAGAAACCTTTACACTCGTATAAGGGACTGTTGGAACAGACCAATCTGCAGTGTTCCTGGTGCCGATATTGAGGTTCTCAGTAGAGTATCTGATGACTATGGGTGGTCCTTCAGGTATGACATAGCTATTTCACATCCACTCACATGGTGGCTTGTCTAGTTGAGGCACCCTTTACAAATAAGCTAGTTTACTCAATTGGTTCAATAGACCTTATCACGGTTTTCGATGCCCTCTTGACGGGAAGGCAAAGCATTCAGAAATTAGTGTTTGTATGGGAATCTGATGGCAAATAACTTTTTCCAAAATTGAATTTTACACAATTTGTGAATCGCAACCGTTATGTTAAAATACTAGGTAGGAGATTGTATTCACCAAGTTTGAAGGATGTAGCTTGGCTAGAAGACGCTCGGTTAATTTTTCTAATTTTCCACACGTTTGTCTATGATTTTTTTTTCATGCCAACTGTGTCTAGCCTGCCAAATTTACAGACATTTATGGAAAATTAGAAAAATTAACTGAGTGTCTTATAATTTTTCCCTCAATTTTAGGCAAACTGGAGACACCACAAAGGCACTCAATCTGGGTTCTTATAATTACCTTGGGTTTGCGGAAAATGTTGGACCATGTGCACAGGCTGCAGAACAGGCAGTCCATAAATTTGGTCTGGGAGGATGCAGCTCACGGCATGAGTATGGTGAGATCAGTAAATGTGCAGTTAAAAGTTAATCAAACATGTATACATGTGTGTTGAACTGTAATGGCCAAGCTGTAAATAGTGGTCCAACGTTTGCAATATGATTGTGTGATTCCAAACATAATTGCCTTTGAAACATTGATTCGAAGTAACTGAGAGATTGTCTTCATCAGGTACTCTTCACCTTCATGATGAACTGGAGACTCTCGTGGCACGTTTTCTTGGCAAGCCCGCCGCAATGGCGTTTGGGATGGGTTTTGCTACCAACTCCACCAACATACCCACCCTGGTGGGTAAGGGAGATTTGATAGTCAGTGATGAGCTGAACCATTCCTCACTTGTGCTTGGGGCAAGATTGTCTGGAGCCAAAATTAAAGTCTTCAAACACAATGGTAAAAATTACAATAGCTGTATTCATATGTATGGAGATAAACACCAAGATGTTACATTGCTTTAGGTTAAAACATCAAACTAGTGTACATTTTTTGTACATTCCACTCCTGTCCCACGTCTATCACAAAGTGAACTCATCAATGGTTCATTGCTACATGTACATGTAACTGGTTTCATATAGTTCATGGAAACATGGAAAAATTATATCAAGAATCCTGTGATATGACTGCCTTAAGTTTTTTCATTGAGTTTATACATGTAGTTAATAATTTTTTTTATGCGTAATATTTAGTTGATAAATTAGATTCTGATCTCTGTTGTGGGGGTGGGGGGAGGGGGGAAGACATGATGTGCTAACAGTTTGCACAGGTTTTGATAAGTGTTGATGGGCAACAAACTTTCACAGTGCCTCTCTTCACTGCCACCTGGAAACAGAAATGTGTATCAAGTGAACTGACAAAATGCTGGGTGGGGGACACCACAACAAGGGCTTGAAGAGTTACATAAGGTTGTTATCTTTGATACTTACAACATGTACTCAGAGGTTTTAATAAGGGCCGGGCACCAGTCAAATTGACTGGCTCTGAGGTCAATTTTCCCACCTGGTTTAAACATCTAGAGGAAAGTTTTTCAAAAAAGATGTTCAGTTCAAAAAGTTGTGCACACCTGTGAAAACCAGTTGCTTTCCTGTTGAAAACTTTAACGAAACCCCTGCTTACTAGTGAATATATTTTTAATAATTTACTGATTTAAATACTGTTAACATTCACTGTCTGCCTCAGATATGAAGAGTCTGGAAAGTATTCTCCGTGAGTCAGTTGTCCAGGGACAACCACGCACCCACAGACCATGGAGAAAAATACTCATCATTGTTGAGGGTATCTACAGGTAAGCGGAAAAAGCCATGTACTGTAGATTTGCTCTGCAGTTAACTTAGAAGTGCTACTACATGTATAGTATGAGACACAGTGATTTACAGTAAGATTGATAGGTCACTAGGGCAATAGTTGTTAATGCATGCATGTATATATTTACATCAAATTTTCTGCCTTGATTTTTGAAGAAAAAATTATTTATAGGCAAAAAAATCTACAATGTACTTTCTTTAATGCACGCTCACTAATAATAAGTATTCTCTATTACAAACACGCAAAGCCTGCCCTTCTATGATTAAATTTAAAGTCTGAAGCAATAAACCTGAGATTTGTTTTAGCCTATGGCTTCCTCGGAGGGTTACAATGTAGTAGCATGCAAGTTTTTTTTTTAGTTTTAATTTTAATTAACTGTTATAAATGTAGTATAAACAGAATTTCAATAAATTATACAACACTGGACATATCCTGTAAATAGTTTTTCAACCCAATCATGGAGATAAAAAATACTTTAAACTGTCATGTTTAATTTCTAGTATGGAAGGCTCGATAGTGAGGCTGCCAGAGGTTGTTGCCCTTAAAAAGAAGTACAAAGCGTACATTTTTCTTGACGAGGCCCACAGTATTGGTGCCATGGGTCCCAATGGAAGGGGCGTTACAGACTACTTTGGTGTGGACCCTGCTGATATCGACATCATGATGGGGACATTTACCAAGAGCTTTGGAGCAGCAGGGGGATACATTGCTGCAACTAAGGTCAGCTTGATAATAATGACATTTTCTGTACAAACTCGCACATGTATGATCCACTGTGGTCTGGAGAATGATGAATATTAGTACAAAACAATGGCAGAGGTAAAGATTGTAAGGTGGCCCTACAGACCAAAATGGTTATTAGTTGATTTGTTATGACTCTGAAAGGTAGAGATTGAACTCAGTGCTTAGTACTTGTCATGGGTAGGGAAATGAAGTCTGTGTGCATAACATTAAACTTATAATTAATTTGATTCTTACATGTACATTACAAATATCATGGAACACAATTTTTGTACTCATTTAATACATGAACATGTACATGTACATTTCAACATCACATAGCTGGGCTGTAATATTTAACACATTATTTTGCGGCATTTATATCTTAGAGTTATTCAATCACCCCCTCCACCAAAACAAACAAACAAACAAACAAACAATTGTAAACAGAAGTGAGCTCAATGTACATCGGTTACTTGATTGGAATTTGTTTCTTGGTCAATTTGTTGATTATTAGATTGAGTTCAATGTGAATGCGGGTTTTCTGATGAACTTGTTTTATTCCACAGGAAATAATTAGTCACATCCGAGGAAGTTCTCACAGTGCAGCCTACGCTTCTTCCATGTCGCCTCCAGTGGTGATGCAAATCATCTCATCCATGAAGATGATCATGGGTGAAGACGGCACAGACAAAGGTTGGTTAGTTAACAGTTAATGATGTTGTTCAAGATTGATTGTGCCAAAAGCATTGATTGTATTGGGTTCATACATATACATCTTCTGTCCAGTGAGAGTCCATCTGCCATCCCCCCTCCTCCCCCTGATACTACCAGCAAAAACAAAGGTTAAGAGCAATTTCCCTCCAGTTTTTGCATTACAAGGAAGTGATTGACAATTTTAATTTGAACTCTTACAGGAAAGAAAAGACTGATTGCCCTTGCTGAAAACTGCAAGTAAGGAAAAATCTGATCCCTGTGTGTAATGTGTATACATTATTAGGTAATTTACCTTGATCTACCTAGCTGGTACATGTAAAAGGTTACATCTGTACACGCTTTCTCTTTTTTTGTTGTTCTTTAGGTATTTCCGGCAGAGGCTCAAAGAAATGGGATTTATTGTTTATGGTCATGATGCCTCGCCTGTTGTACCTCTTCTTCTCTTTATGCCAGCAAAAATTGCGTGAGTACACCTTTATTTGAATCAGCATGGGGAGCAGGGATAGTGAAGTGGTGAGAGCGCTGGCTTCCAACCAGTGTGGCGTGGGTCTGATTCCAGCCCGGTGCCATATGTGGGTTGAGTTTGTTGTTGGGTCTGGCTTTGCTCCAAGGGTTTTTCTCTGGGTTCTCCGGTTTTCCTCCCTCCACAAAAACTAACATCTCCAAATTCCAATTCGACCTGGACAGGACGGGCATGAAAACCAGCTAAGGCTGATGTGGCCTCCTCTCTAAATAAATATTGTTTTTTTGGCTTCAAGAACAAGTTTCGCATGCCCTCTCTATAACCTCATAAGTTTTGAACTGACCTTTTCTTGAGAAACCGCAAGTAGTCTGTTTAGAATTGAGAGCGTGAAAACTTAAGTGTCATTGCAAAGTTTCAGCACGGATAGCTGATGTTGGTAATGCAGAAGCATTTGTTTTAAAGATGATGTGGATGGGTGGATGGCAAAATTAATTTTGTCTTGAAATTATTTTCTGCGAGCAAAACCTACATTTGAAAATCCTATGAGGTTTCAGGTAACCGGTGCTACAGCCCGCATTAAGCTTATTGTCAGACAGACTGCAAGGGTTACTTGTGCCCTAAACTTTACTCCCTGTTAGGCTTTGGTTCTACTCTCTTCATTTTGAGATGGCAGATTCTTTGTACGTTTTTTTAATTATAAATTCAAAAGCCGTTGTTCTCTTTCTTTAGAGCGTTTGGCCGTGAAATGTTAAAGAGGAACGTCGCTGTTGTTGTGGTTGGGTTCCCTGCCACTCCTCTGATCGAATCTCGCACCAGGTTCTGCTTGTCAGCTGCTCACACGCGGGAAATGTTGGACAAGGTCAGTGGAAAATAACTTAGCAGTGAAGCAGTGCTGAAAGAATTTCAGAACTCTGTAAAGTCACTAGCAGAGCAGTTTTAGGTGGCCCAAACCTGTTTGATGTTCGAATTTTGAGAAAACTATACCATTTTTCTTGTCGTGGTTGCGAAAACGTTAGAGATAACATGCTGAGTGGCGCAAAACATGAACGAAGCATCTCGAACCAGGCGAGCTTGACGTTCTCTTGTTGCCCTAGTTCAATAGGGGCGAATTTTGTAATGTGTCTAATTTTTACCATTAAATGGTCATAAATCGTTCAAAGATGAAACAGTGAGATGTCGTCACGAAAAGTAACTTTTATTTAATTACTTTTCAGGCTTTGGAGGCTATCGATGAAGTGGGTGACATTCTGCAACTCAAGTACTCGAAACAGAAACACAAAAAATAACTGAATTTTCTCCATCAGGAAGAAGTTTGTCCTGTACCATAGACATCAAATGTAATTGAATTAGTGTGCAAATACTTTGATCCATTGATATTAACAGTGTGACTAGAAGCTCTGCTTCTTTCCTGGAATGCGCCTAGAATTAATATGCAAGGAGGCCAAAAAAACTCGCTATGGATTTTAAAATATATTAAATTTAATTGTTGGTTCTCTGTAGATACGTATCCGACCCAGTCCTCAGGTATGTACAGAGTATTAGCTTTCGGCACTATGAAGCCTAGACGGTCAATGTGAGCTATCATTGGTCAATGGTTTCCAATGGCAACAAGGTATTGTTAAAAAGATAATCTCGGAAATTCTGGTGCCGAAAGCTATCTAGTGCTCATTGGCTTGAATTTTTTTGGACTGGTGACTTAGTCAAGATTACATAACTTGGTCCGGGTACTCGCTCTTCTCTCAGTGTAATCAGAGTGGTGGGCAACTCTTCAGAGACATAATTTTCCGAGTATACCGAAAAAGAAATAGGTCTTGTTTTAAGTTTTCACTAAATCAATAGCAAGCAATTTGAAGAAAAATATTATATGGTAAGAATTGTCTAACAAATATTGTGTAAATTCATCATTGTGAAAAAGATGCACATTTTCTTTATAGGGGCGCTACTTTTGGGTACCTTTTCTGTTTTTTAAAACGAACATAACTTGTCATATACAACATTTTATATGTTTATCCTACTTTAAGCAGTGCAATTTTTGGAGTTACTTATTTAACGCTACAGCATGTAGGATCATATATCATATACTTTAAATATTTAACACTGCCGCAGGATTGTATGTTTAGCGATTCTGTGAGAAAGAATGGTAAGAACTTAGGTGAAAATAATAGCCTTAACTCAAAGTGCGCATTTCATACTAACCATTTGCGCGCTAAAGTTTTCTAGGATATTCTTGAGTTGAGTGGTCTTGACAGAGGATCTGTAATAATACTTGTTCAACGTGGCTCGGTGGGGTTAAAACACGCGCGCGAGTGGCAAAGTTTCGTCATTTGCGTGGGTGTCTCTCGCGGATTGCGAGTTTTGCTTTCGTTCCGAGTCTAGGATGTAATTTAAATATGCATACTGGTGAGGAACTAATGCCAGCTTTAGCACTGAAGTCCTCGTGAAAGCAGCAGAAATAAAGTTTACGATTCCTCTACCGTTCGGAAAGAACTCGGAAAGAAATGTCATCAGACGTCAGGTTGCTAGGCAACAACACAACGCTGCTGAAACGCGCGGGCTCAGTAAAAAGAGGCACTTGTTCTGTGCCAATAAACCAATAAAATAACTTGAAGAAGGTACAATGTTTTTTATGTTAGGTAATAACAAGCATAGAGTAGTGCCTGATCACAGACTGATATGAAACAACCTAAAACCAGTGTAATTAAATACTTGTGGAAATCGTTGACTTGTTCTACACGTATGGCTGCGTTGTAAGTCGAACTTCACGTGAGCTGAGCCTAAAACAAATGACCGGGAAATGAACAAAAATAATTAACAATTATTGGACCAGGTTGAGCAAAATATCGGGATTTGTCAGTGTCTCGGAGATCAATTTTTTGCCGAAGGCCAGTTACTTCTAACTGCCTCCGTGACGTACAATGTACGTGGCAAACGGTCAGAGGGAAGAAAAAAAATGCATCGAATTATAATAGCTTTTGCTCACCTGGATTAGTTTCGGCTCAAGTAGCTTCAAGTATGTCCTCGTGCGCTATTTTTGTAATCTGCAAGGTCTGTGTCAATTTTGTTCCCAGAGGTTGCTTTAAATAGCACCAAAAATTGAGACCTCTGGGGGAAGTCGGAATGGGAGCGAAATATGACAGTGTAGGTAGGACAAATTACACTTGAAGGCTGAAAGTTTGTTTTCGGACAGTGTCTCAACAACTGCTTTTGTGCCTGTTTGTAGCAATGACATCGGTCTGTAACTATAACAGGGTTGACTTCGTCCATGCTTACTTCGCGTGACCCGCAGACCGGTCGCGTGCTTGACAAGGTACGCATTGAATAGAGTCACGCAACTCCTCCAGCTCGTACTGTTGCGCAATATAGTAGGAGACCTCCTAAGAAAAACATAATCGTTGTTTAGTTTCAAGAAATAAATCCGATTTGGTTGACGCATTACACAAGCTTTGAGGGCTAAAATTTGCGCCTAAAATCGAACGAAACATTTGCCTGAACAATACTGAACAGCAGACAACACCAGACAGAGTTTAAGTGTATTTACTAGTAAATTTGCTGTTCTTTTAAACATTCACCACGCTATATCTAAAATATTCTGACGTTGCTCCACGAAACTGACTTGATTACGACACAGCTTAAACATGACAAGTCTACAGCAGGTGCTGACTTACAAAACAAAACATGCTGACAATGAACTCTGATGCTGAATGGAGAGTAGTGAATGAAGTTCTTGACACTTGTCGTGTTTAGATTGTTGACTGAGGGCCGGGCATGCTTTCCCTCCCCACCCGGGGGGGGGGGGGGGGGGG